TTATTATACCTAAGCATAATGTTCATAATGTTAATACAGTGTTATTACTCGCAATTTACGTGAACCATATTTTAATTTTAATGTTTTATACTCAATTAATCATTTTAAYCTTTAAGTATAATTTGCAGTATTAAACAAAAATAGTATTATTGAACAATTCTGTGGTCAATAAATACTTTATTATTTAAATTGTACACATTTTCTATTAAATTAAGTAAATTAAAATTGTTTAGAAATATTCATTTGACGATAATTTTTTTTGCCCAGCTTGTGAATGAATATGTACCATGGTTGCACAAGCATACATTGTGATGTCTTGTATCTAGACTAATTTATTTCTACTCGTATTTAGAATTAGCATAAGTAATCAATAAAATATATAGGCTGTCAATATTAGTTAATATTTATTTCCTAAAACATCTACCTATACTTATTACTTATATATATATAGGTATATATATTATATTATATTATTATTTATATTATAATATTATAAATCTGAAGAGTTTTGTTTGAACGTTTAGAATTGAAAAATTGTTTTTGTGTTGGATAGTCTATTTGTTGAGGAAAGCTTTAAGCTTTAAATTTAAAATTAAAACTTAAAGCCGCAACCAATAGGACCATATGTATTTAAACAATCTTTTATGGATATTGAAATTGGTTAAATCCACGGGAATTTGTCACGAGGAGTTTAAATCATGACTAGCTGGGTATAGATGACAAATTAAACAAAAAATTTTGAATCATATAGAGTCAGTATTTTTAACGGGCAACAAAGTGCACGGGGATCAGCTAGTATACATATATGTGACCTGTTACCATTTATTATGAGCACTAGTGCCATGGTGGCATGGTAATACTTATCATGACATATTCTGTGTTGTTACCTTAAATTTTAATTTCAATTACATTTTTTAGTTAAATAATAATATCAATTTACTGTAAATCTTTTAGTCTGATTAAATTTATATTCAAAAACATTCACATATTTAAATATTACAATATCAATGCATTGTATTATTAATAATATAAACTGATTAATAGATGTATAGTATTTAATATAAGATTAGAATTTATTTTTATTTTTATCTATACAAATATAATATAGTATAGTATTTTTTTTTAAATTGTATCATAAGTTGGCACATTGAAAAAATCCTATTTGCCATCTCTGGTGTA